AAGGCTGTCCTCCGCGTAGTCGCCAGTCGGCACTGACTGGCGGATGGAACTCGGAGGAGGCCTAATCTGTGCAACCTAATAGGCCGAAGGGAGGTAATCGGCAGGAGGCGGTCTCTCAAGTAAATAACCAGCTCTTACTTGGGGGGAGTGGAAGGATAAGGTTTGAGTAAAGGGATTTAGAATCAGTCGAAGCTACTAATACCTCTGGGTGGTGTAGGCCATCTTTCTGGTCCACTGATAACTCATCCAAGAGAAATATAAAATTGGCAACGCCTAGGATGTCCAATAATTTTAAAAGAGGCAGAGAGGAATTCTAACACTTCAGAATGGAAAGTTAATGCCCGCCTAACAGCAGGAAGTGATTTTGTTGGAAGCAGTTAAAAGGGGAAGGGAACCTTATCGTATCTCCCTTCCTGCCACTTTGAGACATGATGCTGAATTTCTACAGGCAATAGAAAAGTAACAGATCTGCACCGTGACCGATATTGGGCAGATTAAAACTATGGGGCTTTTCTGCACTATTTTTCTCTCTGCAGATATTTCACATTTGAAGTATGCAAAAAAACCTTTCAAATTCAAAACATTCAAAGCTTGTCCAACTTTGGCAATTTTAAGAACCTGTGAACTTTTAACTCCCAGAATTCCCCATGGGGTTGAAGTCCACAAGTCTTAAAAGTTGCCAAGATTGGACACCTCTGGTCTACGTGGATTGTTCCAACTTTACCAAAAGAGTGCCAATGTTGTTCAATTCCTCTGGAAACGTTCTGACTTTGAACAAGACCTTTTTTTGAGCTTCAAATTTGTTTATTTATTTTTGAAATGTATCGTAAACTTTTACTTGTTACCTGCTGCCAGTAGGCTTGTGGGAAAACAGCCATCCACAATTGGCCCACGGACCAGTTTAACGACCACTGTTCTTTGAAAAATTATTCACCACTTCTGCATTTTTTTGAATGTTTGCGTCTCTGTCATTGAATATCATCGCTTCTTCTGATATATATCACCTAGAGCAGTGTTTCTCAACCTTGGCCACTTGAAGATGTCTGGACTTCAACTCCCAGAATTCCCCAGCCAGCATTCGCTGGCTGGGGAATTCTAGGAGTTNTGGCTAAAACCAATGATTGTATAAATTAATTGGCAAAGCAGTGGCACACTAGATCAGGCGTGTAAAACTTGATTTCATGGAGGGCCACATCATGGTTGTGTTTGACTTTGGAGAGCCAAGGCTGGGCATGGCTTGGATGGGCATGGGCATGGGCATGGTGGGTGTGGCACAGGACCCATGTGAGGGGCACCTGTGGTGGCCAAGTGCTAAGGCAGGACATCCTTCATTCTCATTATAATCTCCTTCCCTCCCTCCCTCCCTCCTTCCTTCCTTCCTTCCTTCATTTTCTTCTTTTTCCTTCCCTCTTCATTCTCCTTTCTTCTTCCTGTCTATCTTTCCTCATTTTTCCTTCCTTGCTGTCTTAGGGCTTAGCAATAGCAATAGCAATAGCAGTTCGACTTATGGCAATAGCAATAGCAGTTCAATTTATATACCGCTTCATAGGGCTTTCTGCCCTCTCTAAGCAGTTTACAGAGTCAGCATATTGCCCCCAACAATCTGGGTCCTCATTTTACCCACCTCGGAAGGATGGAAGGCTGAGTCAATCTTGAGCCGGTGAGACTTGAACCGCCGAACTGCAGTTAGCAGTCAGCTGAAGTGGCCTGCAGTATTTCACTCTAACCACTGCGCCACCTCGGCTTCCAATCTTTCCTTCTTTTCTTTGTCTTTCCTCTTTCCCTTTCCCCTTTCTGGTCCCTTCTTGCATGCTCAAATGCAAAAGGGGAAACATTTCTCCTTTTGTTTTGTTTTTAGTTTGTTTTGCTAGCCCACTGCCATCCCCCCCCCCAGCCCAATTTCTCTGGCAGAGGCATCGCGGGTTGGTCCTTTGCTGTTTCTAGGCCGGCCCTGCAGGCCAGATCTAAACACCCCACAGGCCGGATCTGGCCCGCAGGTCTTGAGTTTAACACCCCTGCACTAGATAAACGCAGCAGACATTTTTAACCTAAGTTGCTGAGATCCATACCCCTTTGTAGACAAGTACAAATGGTGTGTTGCAGTAACTCAGTTCCAAGTAACTCGCCCTGCATTATTACATGACTGAACATCCTTTTGATTGGAAAGAGTCGCCCTTCAAATCCATCATGTGGAATCGCATTAGAGAGAGAGAGCTTCATCGTGGAGTGTAGCCATTCACTCTGCCCAATGGGCCGTATTTGGATTTCTCTTTGTCTGTTTCTGAAATCTATTTTAGATAAATGGGGAGGTAGGAGTCGATGGTATCAAGGCTGTGGGTGGGGAGGGGGGGAATCACCCTCAGCAAAAAACAAACCTTTCCACCATCTGCTGCAAGAGAAAGAGAAGAAAATTATAGAGAAAGGCAGAGTTCAGGTGTTAAACCTGTCTGCCATATTGACCACTGTCAAAAATGGCTGGTAGCAATAGTCCAAAATAATGGCTTTATATTGACTTCTTTTTTTTAATGCCTTTTGCTAGGTGGGGGAAAACGTGGCTATTTTGTCAAAGTAATCTCGTTCTATAGATCAGCTTCAGGGTGCGAAAGGAGTGTTATGGAGACATATGAATGGTATTTTCTCAAATATCGAGGATGGATGTGTTTTAATTCCCTGCACATTGAATAACGAGGCCGTTGTTGCAGCAATATAAAAAAAAAATGTTTTTTTGTATGGGCGTTCTCCAGATCAGGGCTGGTTCAAAAGGCTCACACTACATGAAATGTGGGTGGGGGTCTAAGCAGGAGCTTTCCCCATTCCCCATACATTCTTACCTCCTTGTACATGCCTGAGGCCACCATGATCCCGAGCCTTCAGCCATCTCCTGTGTCCATTGGCTTGACTCATTCCTGGCAACAGTGAATCCTTCTGCCTTCTATTCTTCTATTCCTGAAGGCATTAGGCCATGGAAGCAATCTGTGCCTCTGAGGCAGAGCCCTCGTCCGAGCCTTACGCAGCCTCCAGGACTGGCCCATATTCCTCCCCAAACTCCTTCCTGTCTGACTTTGCTGCCAGCTCTACTGGCCGCTGGTGGGCCACAATAAGAAGAACCCAAGTGGTGCATAAGCCGAGAAGGGTAAGAGATAAGCACTTGAATTACCAGACATCACTGAGAATCATGATAAAGGTACAATGTTCTGTCTGACCACCAGAATAGCAATAGCAATAGCAGTAGACTTATATACCGCTTCATAGGCCTTTCAGGCCTCTCTAAGCGGTTTACAGAGAGTCAGCATATTGCCCCCAAAATCTGGGTCCTCATTTTGCCCACCTCGGAAGGATGGAAGGCTGAGTCAACCCTGAGCCGGTGAGATTTGAACCGCTGACCTGCTGATCTAGCAGTAGCCTGCAGTGCTGCATTTAACCACTGCGCCACCTTGGCTCATGTGGGTCCACAATCCAGCTTGTCTACCTATTGAATCTCAGGCCTCTCTAATAGCATACAGTCCAGAACTTTTAAATGTTGCTTCCATTCACCCATCTCTGATAGACTCACCTGTTCTCCACCTCACTGGTCTTCTCATTTGTTTTTGGCTCTACTCCTATAAAACCTCATGCAAGCCTAAAGAAACTTCTACTTCTTTGCTGCCATCAAATGAGAGTTTAGATTTTAGCAACCCAGATCTTCTGTACCTATAAGAAAAAAAGCTAAGCATTCTATATGTGATTGAGCAGACTGAAAACAGAGATCCTTATATACATTGAGCCACAATGGTACAGTGGGAGTGCTGCAGGATACTTCTGCTGACACCTGGCTGCCTGCACTTTGGCAGTTGGAATCTCACAAGGCTCAAGGTTGACTCAGCCTTCCATCCTTCCGAGTTGGATAAAATGAGGACCCAGATTGTTGGGGGCAATATGCTGACTCTGTAAACCGCTTAGAAAGGGCTGTAAAACACTGGGAAGCGGTATATAAGTGCTACTGCTATTGCTAAAGAAAAGTGTACATGTGAAAGAGAGAAGGTGGTGGAAGAACAGAGAAAGCTATGCATGTCATGAAGAAGTGTACCTTATACTTTGTTTCTGAGTTGAAGGAAGGATGTATTCTTGCATTTTGCCCAGATATCCCAAAGGCTATTTTGCCCAAAATGGCATTGATTATCTAACTCATCTAAAAGACCTACAACCAGCCTACAAGCTCATCAGAATCCAAATCAACCACACAGCCAACCAGAGACAGCACCGACCCTTAACACAACTCCCCCCCACCCGCAGTTCTCCTCCCAATAACCCTGACCTGATGTAACCTCCCTATCACAAGACCCATCACAAGACTCTCACTGATGACTCACACCTGATGCATCACAAGACCCTCACTTAACACACCGATACCCGAAGCCCTTATAAACAGAAGAACACTGGCATTGACATCCCCTAAACTTCCCTGAAGATATTATCTAGCCTGGCAACAAAAGGTTTGGAAATCAACCCACAAACTTAGAGAAGGAAACTTCACCCTCATCCTACACCTGAGCTGCAGATGCGCCACTATTGCAAAACAAAAGACTTTCGGGAATTCAGAATGCTTCACAGAACATACATATATATCCAGAAGTAGAAAGGATGGGTCTTGTGTGTTTTGCACTCTGGCGACTGTGTTATGGACGTTAGTACCAATAAGAAAAAAAAATGCTCTTTCAATTTTTGTGAAACAACAGTGCTAGCCAAGAAAAGGTACGCATATCAACACTTTAGTGAGTGCCCATCTGACATTACACTTGATTGGTATCAAGTTTTAAAGTGTAAAAAGAAAATCAAGACGGACTCACTCTCATTCCAGAATGCAGGGCACAGAATATGGATATAATTTTTAAAAAGGCAGATTCAAACTGAAGATTATAAAAAAAAATAATATCTGATGAACTATTAGACAGCAGAAGAAATTACCTAGATCAGTGGTTAAAAAAGGTAAAGGATTTCCCTGTCCAATCATATCTGGCTCTAGGAGCCAGTGCTCACTTCTGTTTTCCAGCTAAGGGAGCCAGCATTTTCCAAAGACACTTCCCTGATCATGGAGTCAGATGCACAGAAGCTGTTATCTCCCTACCAGAGTGAAGTATATTTATATACTTGCATTTGCATGTTGTGGAACTGCTAGATGGGCAGGAACTGGGGCAGGAATGGAAGCTAATCCCAAAATGTAGTATTTGGGTCTTGCACTGCCAATCTTCTAATCAACAAGCCCAGCATCTTAACTGCTAGACCATTGCAGTGATAGGCTCCCTTTTATTGGCTGTATTCGGTTTCCAAGAAGTCATCTGTCAGGGATGCTTTCATTTGGGTTCTGGTAATGAGCAGAAGTGGGGAACGTGGTGGCTCAGTGGCTAAGATGTTGAGCTTGTCCATCAGAAACATCAGCAGTTTGGTGGTTCGATTCCCTAGCATCACCTAACAGAGTGAACTCCTGTTACTTGTCCCAGCTTCTGTCAGCCTAGTAGTTCAAAAGTATGTAAAAATGGAAGTAGAAAAATAGGGGCAACCTTTAGTAGGAAGGTAACAGCATTCCGTGTGCCTTTGGCATTTAATTATGCTGGCCACATGACCACGGAGACGTCTGGCTCTTCTGCTTTGAAATGGAGATGAGCACCACCCCCTAGAGTCAGGAACGACTAGCACATATTTGTGAGGGGAACCTTTACCTTTACCTAATGGGGAGAAATCTGGATTCCGTGACCTTTTCAACTCTTTGATTCTAGGATCGCTTCTCCTATTCTGTAACAAAGACCAGCACATTCAAAACAGCCTTAAAACTATTTGAAAAGCAAATGGCTGCTTTCTTGGTGCTTAGTGAAAGAATCCTGTAACCGTGCAATGTGATTAGCCAAGATGAAAGAGGCCACTTTACTATTTCTGGAAAACAAAGGCTGTTGAGTCCACAGATCTTGCAAATCTTCTCTCAGCAAAGCAAACATTGAAACCAAACACATGTTGTTTTTTTTAACCTGCCCCAATTTTGGAGACAAACCAGAATGCAACACAGATGAAAGGTGAAGCCTATAAATCCTATTCAGTTTGAATAGGAAAATGTTGGCTGAGTTCCACCCTTCACTCTGATTTCCATGGCTCCCAATTTGGAGAGAGTTAAGCAGAAGCATTTGCATTTTGCAAACACTGAAATGATTGAAACGCTTGTTAGGCCTCCTTGTATCTTGGCAATCCCAGGAAAAAAAGAAAAACTGATGATGTCACTAGCCAAGAATATATCAAATGCCGCCTTTAGCGTTGCTACAGGTTGAACATTTCCTATCACTAGTTCAGACGATTTCCGAATTCTACAGCTCTTTGGGTGGTGGTGGTGGTGGTGTTTTTCCTGGCGCTTTCGGCTACCTGCTTTGAGGTCATGTGCTGTGATTGGTCTGAGATGAAGTAATGTTTGAGACTTGGACCAAAACAGGCATCATTCTTCTTCTACTTTTCAAACGTATTTATAGGGCCTCTGAGCTTTACAAGTATAATCCAGACAAATTATCATTTTGAACAGGCAATTCAGCAATAGTCTAATTTGGAAGGATTGCTAAGAAGCAAATAAGCAAAAGCACCTTTGTTCCCCAACCATTAAAGGAATGAGAAGAGCTTAAGTATATAAAAGAAAGCTCTGGCAAATGTTAATGCCCTTGGCTTCCTGAAATGCCTCCAGATTATTAAAACAGAAACACTTGCACTTTAATGGGTTCTCTTTAGATAGCCTATTATTTGGAGCTTAAAAGTAGAGCTAGAGGTAATGGTAAAGTTACATTCATGTGTATTTGTTGCCTGGATATTTCCAACGGTGTTTTGCCCCCTTTCCTAGATATTTTCAACCACCAGCTGTGATTTTTATTTTATTTTTACAAACAAGGGACTAACCAGCCAAAGCTCAACAGTTGTTTCTCAGTATATAAAGAAGCAGAGTGCTGGTAACCTCTAACTCAGGGATGTCTAACCTTAGCAACTTTAATACTTGTGGACTTAAATTCCCAGAATTCCCCAGCATGGGGAGTTAAGGTCCAAAAGTCTTAAAAGCTGCAAGCATTGCACACCCCTGTTCTATCCAAGGTATATGGGTTTTGGAAACTCTCCATCTGAGTTGTGTGACCACTAAACAGTAACTAAGTGAGTCCCTTGAACTGCAAGGCGATCAAACTGGTCAGTCCTAGAGGAGATCAACCCTGACTGCTCTTTAGAAGGCCAGATCCTGAAGATGAAACTCAAATACTTTGGCCACCTAATGAGAAGGAAGGACTCACTGGTGAAGAGCCTAATGCTGGGAAAAATTGAGGGCAAAAGAAGAAGAAGGGGATGACAGAGAATGAGATGGTTGGATGGGGTCACCGAAGCAGTAGGCATGAGCTTAAACGGACACCGGGGCATGGTAGAGGACAGGAAGGCCTAGAGGAACCTTGTTCATGGGGTTGTGATGGGTCAGACATGACTTTACAACTAACAACAACAAATAGTAACCATGACCAAGGACATAAGAATTGAGAGAATTTTAACGTCTGTGAATTCCACAGTGTTTTCACTTTTTAAACACTGCATTGTGTTGCAGTTGTCCCTTTTAGGTTTTGGGCTCCAATATGCCAATAGAGTAGGAAGACTGGCATGAATTTTAGTAGCCTGAAAATCTGACAAGACAGTTTCACACAATGATCTAGTTATGAATGACATGATGATCACAGCATCATTGTCAACTATGGTCAACATAGCTCTGGTACAGCAGAGTAGTGCCAATATTAAGATGTTCATCAAATATTTCCCAATTCATGGTGGGGAGAGAATTCATCCTGAAGCTATCTTGGCCACATCTATGGCAGGGGTGGAT